GATCCTAGTTCGACCGGTAGAACTATGGACCCTTCAGCTTCCACCGTGTCTCCCGTGAATCCTGAGAGAGGGGTTTTGAGGGGTTCAAGTTGTGTCCGACACAACCTGAGTTTCTGGAAGGTCTCCAGGTAAAGGATGTTGACACTGCTGCCGGTGTCAACAAGTACCCGGGCGATGTCCACCCCATTGATGTCCATGGTGATGACCAATGGATCATTGTGATCTTCACCGGTTCAGCACTTACTTCACCGACGTAAATGCTGCGAACCCAATTTTTCCACTGCGCGGCTGAATCTCCGCCTTCAGGTCCGCCGAAGATCATCCCAATATGTTCCTTATCAGGGTCCAGCTGCTGCTCCCTCTGCCAGTTATTCCTCCGCCGGTCATTGTCCCGGTCATTTCCCTGGGTTGCTGGCCTTACCCATTGGTGGTTCTTCTCCTGGGCTTTCTGCAAATAATCTTTGCCCAGTTCTCCACTGTCTATCATCTGCCGGATTACTCCCTTAACACTTTTACACTCGGAAGTGTTATGGGAATCTGACCTGTGGTACAAACAATAGGTGCCCGACCACTGCCCTCCTGTTTGACCGGTAGGATTTTCCGGAGGAATGACCGGTGCTTTTCTTACCTCTTGGCACTCTTCAGTGCTAACCACGCGGACGACCGGGTCATAGTGGTGCCTTGGCCGGCTGGATCCCTACGCTTCTTCCTTCTTGACTTGCACCGGCTTGGGCTTGTAGCCATGCTTAGCTTCCTTCTTCGCCCGAAGTTGAGTTTCAGCCTCAGCAAACTCCCAGGCAGTGTGGTAGGCCTCTTGATACGTGGCCATTCAGGAGGAGGGACAACACTGTCTTGTCGTCCATCTCCTCAACCTTGTCTACCTCCTCCTTCCACCGGGTAAGGAATTGAGTGAGGTTCTCAGATTCCCTCTGCCCGGCTGTACTAAGATAGGTGAATTTCTTCCTCTTAGTACAGTTCTCATGGAACTTGGCCTTGAATTTCGAGGCCAAGTCACTGAATGAGTCGATGCTTCCTGGGCAAAGCTTGTTGAACCATTCAGTATCTCGATTTCGCAAAGTCTGGAAGAAAAGGAGGCACTTTTCTTCGTCTATACAACCATTCATGGTTGCACTTTGATTGAAAGAATCCAGATGTATTTCTGAATCTTCCTTACCGGTGAATCTTGGGGCGTCTATCTTGACCTTTCGCGGGAAAGGTGTTAGATGGACCCTTGTAGTGAACGGGGACCCCGCGAGGGGTTTTTCCCGGTCATTCTTCTCTCCAACCTTCTTCTCCAGCCTCTCCAGTTTTGCCTCCATCTGCTGGACGCGGTCATTCGGGACAGTCAACCGGTTAGCCACCGGTACCCTAGGTTGACTCTCTGCTTCCTCTTCTTGACGGGAGGCCCTCGTCCTTGCAGGCTCCTGCCGGTTAGACAGGGAGCTCTGGGTACGGGCAGGCTCGGCCTCCCTCCCCTCGCCCAACCGGGCAAACGCGCTGACATGGGCAACACTTTGCCCCAACCTCAGCTTGGCCGACTTTCTCTGGCCTTCTTCCTTTTCCCCCAGCCTTTCGAAGGTGGAGTTTCGGGAAGTTGCTGTGCGGATAGTTTTTCCCTTCTTTTTCTTGTGGGCCCTTGGAATGTCCCACTCGTCGTCTCTGTTTTCCACTGAGACGCAGTGACCATCGGGAGTGATTTGTGGATTCATACCTTGCGGGGGACGGGACGGCCCTACAGCATTAAGCGCACCAGTCAAGTTGACAGGTGCCATGGTGCTGACCAGCTGCGGCTGGAAAGGTGAGGGCTGCGGCACCGGCGTCTGAAACGGTGTCACTGCGATCGGAGTTTGAAGGGCATCGTCCCGCGCCCGGAAGGGCAAACGGGAACATACCAGGGAGAAAAGGCATCCCCCCATTTTGTTGACACATGGCCATGACTTGGCCAAAGCCCTGGATGGCCTGCAGGTTGGCCGGATCGTTCATGAACTGAGTCATGCTTGGTGGGAAGGTGACCCTTGGTCCAGCGGAAGGGACAGGGGCTGACCATGCTCGGTGTTGGGACCGAGCCCAGACCCAAAAAGTAAAACGGGAGCAGAAACGGCCGACAGGGTAGCAGCCATGGGTATGCTGGTACCCTCAGTGGTGGCTTGCACCTGAGCAGAGGTAGCGTTGATTTGCTGGCTTGAAGACATTTTGAGTGGTGTTTTTGTGGGTAGGTTTGTGTTTAGAAGAGAGGGAACCTCAACGGTCCCATGGGTGGCGCCAAAATGATGGTGTAAATTATCGACCGGTATATCATTTTTAGCCCGGCTAAAAACGATAAACTAGTCTAAAAATATAAACACGAGGATTTTTACGTGGAAACCCAAATCGGGAGAAAACCACGGGCCTTTTTTGGCAGTACCTTGCCAACGGGGGATTTTTATTAATATCGGGGGTGTGTACATAGTACATGATTTAGGCGTAGAAGCCATTAATGGAGCATTTGATCTCTTGAAGAAGAAGAAAATATACACACTAAAGCCTTCTAGAGAGAGAGAGTAAATGGGCAGGAGGATGAGAGAGGAAAAATGGCCTCCTTCTCTTGGTGGGATACTTCTCTTTTATAGGAGGGAGGGGGAGCATCTTCAAAGGAATATTCTCTTATTCCTTCATTTTATTAAACATGCCCGATTTGACTGTTCTTCGTAAATAATTGGGAAATGTGGGCCGAGCCACGTATTATTTCCCATCAAATGCGAATCGAAAAACGTAAGGCAATTTAGATATTATTCCATTATAAGTTCATCACTAAAATCCTCACAATCAAGTCTCACTCCCAACTAGTGTCATGTGCACTCCAAGAGGTGCCGAGAGGCCAAGCTCAAACCCATTGAAGGTGCCCGATGAGCGGGTCGAAGCCCCTATCTCCGAGGTGCTGAGAGCAGGTCGCGGACTTCCATGCGTACCTTTTTATCCCTAGGCCACTGAGAATGCACTCACGCCTCACATGGCTTGAATCCTAACAATCTTAACAATCTTATTGGTGACTCTTGGTGACTATAAAATTAATCCCTAGGCTTGAATCCTAACAATCTTATTGGTGACTATAAAAATAATTCGGTCAAGACCAACCTAACTCAATAGGTTATTTATCTTAGCGCATAATCATAATCCACAATCCCTCACCAATAGTTTAATTCATAGCAATTCACAGGTCAAGATTTCATCATATTAGGTAGCGGCCTAATGGGAATCATGGGCACTCCATTTATCGTCATGCTCAAGCAAACAATATACCCAATGAAATTAAATAGAGTAAACTTCATAATTGGTCCTTTATAACAGGGGGTTTCCATATTTAGTCNCCATGCGTACCTTTTTATCCCTAGGCCACTGAGAATGCACTCACGCCTCACATGGCTTGAATCCTAACAATCTTAACAATCTTATTGGTGACTCTTGGTGACTATAAAATTAATCCCTAGGCTTGAATCCTAACAATCTTATTGGTGACTATAAAAATAATTCGGTCAAGACCAACCTAACTCAATAGGTTATTTATCTTAGCGCATAATCATAATCCACAATCCCTCACCAATAGTTTAATTCATAGCAATTCACAGGTCAAGATTTCATCATATTAGGTAGCGGCCTAATGGGAATCATGGGCACTCCATTTATCGTCATGCTCAAGCAAACAATATACCCAATGAAATTAAATAGAGTAAACTTCATAATTGGTCCTTTATAACAGGGGGTTTCCATATTTAGTCTTCTATTATCAAATATTACCCACATAGTCCTTTTTTAAGGGTACCTTTCTACAAATAGTCCTTTTTTTGATCTTCTACCGTGTTAGTGTTAATTTAAAGGCTAAAAGTATAATTTGACATGAACATTATGTCTACTAACGTGTTCTGATATTGGTTAAGCGGATAACACAAAAATAGTGACTATAATTGTGAGCAAGGATTCTGACGAAAGATCACATTTGTAGACTATAACTGTCGTAAAAAGTGATTGTAATTCACAAACGACGCTAACGGAACATCCTTTGTAATTGTGTATGACAAAAAAGATATATTATTAGGCCAATGCTAGGGGTACACCAACATGGGGTACCCCAAATGTACACCAAGCCAACACAGACACACACAGATACAAAATGTCTGTGCAACACAGACACTTTGTGTCTGTGTGTATCTGTGTTGGCTTGGTATACACTTGGGGTACCCCATGTTGGTGTACCCCTAGCTTAATTCATATTATTATTGTAAAATTATACTTTTAGTTCTCAAATTAACACCAACATGGTTGAAAATAAAAAAAAGACTATTTGTGGAAAGGTACCCATAAAAGAAGGACCACTAGAGTAATACGGAGTATTTGATAATAGAGGACTAAATAGAGAAACCCCCTTATTATAAAGGACGAATTATAGAATTTACTCAATTAAACAAAATTACTTATGTTGTGAATTCGGGACCAAAGATTCAATCATCAAGCCCGCTGCCCTCGCCAGAACAGTACAATTGCTACCACACTAGCGTGACAACCTGCCAGACCAACCCGGCAGCTCAACAAACAAAACTACAACCCAAACGGTCCATATTGGCCCAATTAACCCAACTGTCACGCCCTAAATGGCCGACCAAAACCACCCACAGATCGTGCCCATAGCCCAGCCTAAGTAGACGAAGTTACATTTTCAAAATAAAACCTTGTTTGTTATCAATTAGATCTTCACATGCTGAATTGGTTAGAATGGATTAAACCGTACACATATCCATTAAGAATGAACTCATATGCCTTTTAACCAAATATCACTTGCCAAACAGGCCTTAACTGAGCTCAAAATATTCTAATCTTTATGTCTCTAACTTCTCTTTGAATGTTGTTATGAAATAAAATAAGTTCACTGTTTGGACAATCAATCAAGAGAAATTAAGGCTTCTTCACTTAGTTGCAACTCCATTTGATTCAAACATCCCCGGCATAAATATTACCTAAACCACTTGACCACTTACTTCACTACGGTATGAAGAGAGAATCCATCTTCTATTGAAGATGCAGCTAAGACCCACCAATTCAACTTCAATGAATTTGAGTCACCGTTAACTTATGATCTTTTAATTCCACTTTAGCATTAGGATATTATTTGTCTTTTTTTATTATTAAGAACTAAATATTCTTAATTGATTCTCATCGAATCCCATCTGCCCAAAGTGTTATGACCTTTATTTTTAAATTTATATTGATACTTGCATTTTACATTGAATAAAAATAAAATATAAAAAATATATGTATTGAATCTGTTAGGTTACTTTACTTTGAATTTTTAAATAATTTTCACACATATAAAAGAGTATTACATATTTAAGAAAACTAAATATTCAAAAGTTTTGGAAAAATGAAAAAATATATACACTACAAATGAAGAGCTCGTTAGAATGAAAAAATTGTAACTTTATTTTTATATCATTATATTTCATATTAAAATATACTCCCTCCGTCCCGTGAAACCTTTCCCCTTTCTTTTTTTATCCGTCCCACAAAACACTTCTCATTTCTATTAAAAAGTCACTTTTACCCCTTACTTTTTCATACCTAACTATCACATCGTACCTTTTTACTAATAATCTATCCATCAAATCATACTTTTACCCATCACATCAAAGGACATTTTTGGAAATTCAATACCAAAATACACTCCCTTAAATCCCTCCTAAAAAGTAAATGTCCCATGTTTCACGGGACGGAGGTAGTATAACTTTTGAAAACTATTGAATTAGTGGGTCAGTTTTGTCAGAATTGAGTACGGACGGATTTAACCCATTTTTAGCTGACCATTTCAAATTTGGCAAATTTCAAGTTTGATCAACAAAACCTTGGATCAAAAACCAGTATTTTTTGGGTTGGATGTTGAGTAAAAAACAGGCCGGGTAACTTTTTGTCAGATCTACATCCACTACACGCGCCAAACGTCAATTGAGAGAATCCTTTCCGATCCCACCATAAACTAATATACTTTCTTTGGATAAGGAAAGAGGAGGAGGAGAGAAATGTATCAAGGATTTACCTTGTGGCCACTCTCCACGTTGAGAGGAGGAGAAGAAGTACTAGTGGAGGGTGGAGGTGTGAAATCGGGTTGTTGCTTGCACAACTTCATCTAAAAATCTGACTAGATTACTCACCACAAAACCCTATACCAGCCACAACATTTGCAGTGCGTCTAAAGGCTCACTGCCACTTTGGAACAGTTGGATTCAAATTCTAATAACAGTTACATTCGGCATTCATCCAAAATTAGGGATTGGAAACCAAATCAATTCGATTACATGACAATCCAAACAAATGTATTTATTATGTGTCCCTCCACCAAGACAAAGAAAATTAATAATACAAAGCACACAAGACACATCAAGTTCGCACCATTGTAAACATCACTAATAANCATTAAGGGAGCAAGTTCAACAACAAACAAGTTGGCCGAGTGCATGACATTTGTTCCAACTCCGGGATTCAAGCATCCCACAAAAATTTTGAAGCTCCAGCTTCCTTATTTCTCATTTAATATTTTGGAATTTGAATCACTATTTTATGTAATTTAATATACAATTGTTATAATTCCAATTTATGGAACACTGATGTGATTGTGGTTTTTAGATTTGTGCTCAACTATTTCTTTTTATTAATAAATGAATTTCTCTACTAGAGTTGTTAAATTTTTATGTCTTCTTTTAAACTCATCAATCTTTGGAGTAACAGTGAAATTGACAACGAGGATAAAATAAACTTTTTAAAACTTTTTTAAATTTTGTGAAGTTAAAATGTTAGGGTAGATTTTTCCAAAGGAGGGAAGGCATATATTTTAATATGTTTTAAAGAATTAATGATTTAATTTGTTTCTTAGATTGGTATATCGTACTTTTTTTTCTCCCCAAACACCTAATTTCCCCTTCTGATGTGCCGCTGGGTTCGGAGTGGCTGCCTCTCACTAATTCCTACCTTGATATATATATATATATATATATATATATATATATGTATATATATATATATGTATATATATATATATGTATATATGTATATATATGTATATATGTATATATGTATATATATGTATATATGTATGGTATATATATATATATATATGCATATATATATATATATATATATATATCAAGAACACATTATAATCTTCATTTTATGTCGGATTAGATAATCTTCATGTATGTATGTATGTATGTATGTATGTATGTATGTTCTTCTCCTTGTGACATCTTTTTCTTACCTTAGTACTTAATTGAAAAAACATCCAAAGCATTATTGTCCTA